AAGATGGTGCTCCACCACACTACTACAGACAAAATAGGAATTATTTAGATAACAATTTCCTCGGTTGTTGGATTGGCCTTCGAGGTCCTGTGGAATGGCCAGCTCGATTGCCAGATTTGACACGTTTAGACTTTTCTATGGGGCTATTTGAAGCAAAAGGTGTACGAAACTGAACCTGCTTCAGTATTGGATATACGGCTGAGAATAAAAAATATTTGTAGAAATATCGATGTTACTATGTTTGAAGTTTGAAGAAGTTCAAGGCATCCATTTCCAGCATCTTATAAACTGAACTCAACGTATGTATTCGAATTATCAAGTTAAATGTCAATGTATTCAGGTAATTATTACATGTACCACCATCTTGTAGTAGGTAAAGGTATTTTACCAATAAAAATTTAAATCTGTTTCTCCGTATGGTGATATTGCGATATTAACGATATTGTTATGATCATGCAGATAAATGGTTTTTATTCTGTTAAGCGAAAACCGTGCATCGGATTGAATGAATCAAGCAATCATGTTTGCTTGGAAACGATTGGAGATTTCAAGGATAATTTTCATTATAATAGAAATCGGTGGCATACTGTCGATGTCTGCCAAAATAGGCAGCTCAAATTTTGTACGAACGTCACTGGTGGAAATGAAGAAAAATGTGGAACCTTAAAAAGTGCCTCTTGAAAACTTTGCCACCCTGTATCTCAAACGTTAAAACATTTAAGACATACGTTCGGATTAATTTTTGTCCTTAAAATGGTCCCAAAAATCATCGACCTGAATATTGACATTCGTTTTTGGTCTTGTCATGGTTGTGTTGAGTAAAATCTCCTAACAATCCAAATGATCATTTTATAAAGATGCCAACAATTACGAGACGGATACCAGTGACGTGACATACTTATTAGATCTTAAAAATGAAGTCAAGTAGATTGACCTGTAGTCTAGACCGAGGTCCACATAGCCCAGCTACAAATACGAATATCTCGATTTCGACATTTTCCGTAATTACAAAGCTTCCTTACCAGTTGAAACAGAAGTTTTTTATAAAACTTTTCTCTCGTATTGGCGTGGAAGTGACAAACGAGACACAGCGTGAGTGCGTTTTAGTTCCCACGCACCCTATATCAATTTTTGAGAAGGCTTCCTACAATTTGGAAAACATCGAATAACCTCATCATACATAGCTTTTGGAAAATGCAGGTATGGTCCATATCATCTTGGAAGAATCTGTAAATTACAACTAAATGAAGAAGAATGCCAAGAATTGAAATTAAATATACCTTCTAGATTTTCAGCGCAGTTGCTTGAAAGATTTTGTGCTAGTTTTGGGATCAACTAATCAGCATTTTTAGGTGGGATATTACGCAAAATAATCATAGGCAGAACAGTAGTATTACCATAATCCTATCACATTGACGATATTAATCAGAATGCGGATCAGTACCTTTATCACTGTGTAACGTATGTTCCAATATTTTTCTAGAAACCCTCGTACATCGATAAAACTAATTCGTATTTATCACATCACGTTCAAGCATAAATCTTAGAAACTCCCTGGGACGTTTTTTATTTCATAGATGGTTGCCTTTCACTGTCGACGGACTCAAAAGAAATTGCCTCATTTATCTCGCAAGACATGACTTGTCGTTACGGTAGATTCTTCCGAAAAAAAAATGATAAAAAACTGTGTTGTGATGTTTATTTTTGTATTGTCCCGAGTACATTTGAACGTTCTGTATAAATAGACATTAGTTGTGACGAAACGTTTATTTGGTTTTGCATAGGCCTTAAGCGAAACTGCTACGCTGATATCAGAATATTCTTAGATAGGGAATACAAGAAAATGCAAATCCAGATGCCCCTCCCAACACTCCTGCATTGTAGTTTTCTGCTTGTCATATTGGAAAAATGACACCAAGTATGGGTTCAGGAGAGGTAAAGAGAGGTCTTAAAGAGGAAAGATATGAAATAACTTAGGAATCCAGAAAAGCAATGGTCATGTTTTCACTATTAGTAACCATGCGCTTGAATTTATATGTTGAGCCGTATTCATAAAAGGAAGTATATCCTCAGAAGTATAAGGTAAAAGTATAAGGTCTTGCTTCGGAGAAAAAGGTAGAAGTATTAGCATATCCTTGTTTTCATATTCATAATGATTACATTATACTCGCGAGGACATCCAACAAGAAGAAGTAAAAGGTTGAGTGGTATTTGTATCTTGAGCGACATGTCTTGACTTGTTCCAGCTTGTAGTTGACGTGGGAGTTCGTTCACTCAGCATCACCGACAGATGTACTCCAGAGCTTACACAGACCCTTCCGTATTTTTACTGGATACAGTTTTTCATCAAATTAATAAGCATGTCATCCTCAAGTGCTGAGGAAACTATAGAAAATAATGGTAATGACCTGCAGTTCATCGCAGTTGAAATTTCCATTGCTCCCATTATTTTGCAAAAGTCACAAGTTCCAAAAATAAAAATTAGAAGGGACGATGCCTTGAAGAAGATGTTGGAAAAATACGAATCAACATTCGGTAAACCATTATGTATTATAGGCTTATTAAAAAAATCAACAACATGAAATCTAGATTGAAGAAAAAAACTAATCTAAAAGAACTGGTAATAAAGCAATTAAATTGTTAGATTGGGAAAGAAAGTTGTTGAAAGCTATGGAGGGTGACGGTAATCCAACAATTGGGAAAATTAGAGGTGCTATTCAGGTTGGTAGTGTTCTAGAAGAAGGAACTGAACTATTTACCGAGCGCAGTGAGCAAACAGTTAGTATTACAGCGCCAGCAATTCAGAAGACTTTGCCAACAAAAAGAAAATTAGCAAGAGAGAAATACGAAAACTCAGGAAATCAAAGGGCTAACTACAAAAGGACTGCACCGTCTAGTGCTATTACAGCAGTAAAAAACAAGTATTTTACAACAAGAGTATTATAAAACGAAATTAGAAATGATGCAGCGTCAGAAGCCACCTGTAACTTATGATGTTCACGAAAATAATTTATTTATTTATTGAAATCCACCACCAACAGTGTTAAACAATTACTGGTGGCAAAACAACAATAGGAATAGTAAAAAAAAAAACATATAAAAATACAACGAACACTAAAAACTAAATCATTTCACTGCAAACTCTCTTAATATTCGAATTACTTGTGTTGAACAAATCAAATGTACTCTGTAGACTATTATAACATGAACACATCGAGTACAAAGGTGAGTGCAACAGTAAGTTAGTTCGTGGGGTAGGTAGGTAAAAAGTGAGTGTATTGCGAGTAACAAATTTTGGAGCATTAAATTTAATCTGTGCTAGAAATGATGGACAATCATAACTGCTATGCACTACTTTATGCAGGAATATTTGCGAGTGAATCTTTCTTCTGTTATCAAGACTGATAAACTTGTGCTTACGTAGCAGATCTTCCTGTGGGACCCCAATGGGTGGGTACGTACCATCAATTTTGAATGAAAGAAATTTCAGAAATTTCCGCTGAATCTTCTCCAGAGAGCCACAAGTTGTAACATAGCATGGATTCCATATTAGCCGTCCATATTCTAATTTAGACAGTATGAATGAATTATAAAGCATAGTCATGGCATCTTTGTTAATAAATTCCTTTGAGTTACGTATTACAAATTCTAATAATCTGTTGACAGCATTAATAAGGTACTCAATATGAGGATTGAAGCTAAGTGACATGTCAAAAATCACACCCAGGTCCTTGCATTCTTGTACTCTCAGCAGAGAATGATTGCCAATTCTGTAGTCAAATGCAATAATATCTAGCTTTCTGGTGTAAGACATAACACTACATTTACTGTAGTTAATTGGAAGTCGATTTACAGCACACCATTTAACTATTTTGGCTAGGTCTTTTTGTAAGTGAGCACAGTCAGTGCTGCAGTCGACATTGGAAAAAAATTTCAGATCATCAGCATAGATTAAGTGGCTGCTGTCGATGTCGCTAACAATGTCGTTTATGAACAGTATGAAAAGCAAAGGACCTAAGCAGGAGCCTTGAGGTACCCCTGAGGTTGGGAAGAATTCAATGGATTTGACTCCCTCATATTCAACATATTGCTTTCTTCCTGATAGATATGACTTAAGAAAGGATAACAGCTTGGGGGAGAATCCAAAATAGCTCAGCTTCGTTAACAGAATACTGTGATCAAGTTTGTCAAATGCTTTACTAAAATCTGTATAAATTACATCCACCTGGCTATTAGCATCTAATGCAGAGGAGACTGACTGAGTAAAACAGGCTAGGTTAGTTATGGTTGATCTACCCTTCATAAAGCCATGCTGAGAAGTACTTATTTGGGAATGTGTATTGTGGTATAGGAAATTATGAAGCAAAGTTTCTAAGGCCTTGGAAAAGATACATACTAGGGTTATCGGTCTATAATTTTCAACCTGTAGTCTATCACCCTTCTTTGAAAATGGGACGCACCTTTGATTCGCCCCAAATTTCAGGAAACGTGTCAGTCTTTAAACATATGTTGAAGATCTTTGTGAAGGGATGAGCTAAGACGTAGGCACAGTCACGCACTAAAAATGATGGGATTCCATCGGGTCCGGAGGTAAATTTATTTTTCATTTGCTTTAACACTGTAAAAACTTCTTCTTCGGAAAAGCTCTGAAGTATTATGTTAGTATGCAAGTCCGAAATATTGATATCATTTGCGTTCGAGGGCATAGTACATACAGATTGAAAAAATAGCGCAAAAGCATTAGCAATTTCATTGGGTTTGTAATACTGCTTACCATTATAGTTTACTTGGCTGATTGTGGAATTTTTTCCCCTTTTATTACAGATAAATGACCAGAAATTGTTCGGATCCTGAGATAGGCTACTTTGGATATCTACTAGATATTTTTGATATGCGTTACGCTCATCGCGCTTAATTTTGGTCTGTATTATAACTTATAAATAAACTTTAATCAGTAAAAATATTTATTATAATACTCAAGTTTCTTCTTATTTGTTGACCTAGTTGGCGGAGAGAAAGTTCGTCACTCTCATGATTTTCTATATCTTCATCTGGGTCTTGTTCAACTAAGTCAAAGTCCCAAGCTCTTCGCAACATTATGGAGTACAATACAAGCAATAATTCTTTTCGGCACATTTTCCAACTTTACGCGGCAAACATACTGTACGAAAGGAAACCGGCGTTTCAGTTGGCCAAAACAGCGTTCAATTATAACTCTTTCTTGTTTTAAAAGCTTATTATAATTTATTTCTGCACCTAGAGTAGGATTTCTGAAGGGAGTCATAAGGCATGGCTCAATACCATAACCGTCATCGCCAAGTAGTACAACATTTGCTTTATTTATTAGTTGTGATCTAGTCTGTGAATTTCTCCATATTCTGGAATCGTTCACTGATCCAGGCCAACCGACATCAGCACTTGTGAACATCTCTCTGGCATCACAAGTGGCTTGCACATTTAAAGTAGGTTTCCCTTTTCGGTTGATGGCGATTTGGTTTCAGGATTCCTATCTATATGTTTACAATCAATACACCAATTGCTGTCGAAAATTTATACATGCTTTGCCATATCCACTTGGCCTCCATCAGTTCAGGGTTGGTAGTTGGAAACTTGATCCATTCGTTCGACCGTGCAATTATGCTGTTCACAACCCTATCCACAGTCCGAGATAGCGTTGCTTGACTAACACCAAGTTCCTGACCAATACCTTGATATCCAGTGTCACCGAGATAGCGTCGACATATCTGCATTTTATGAATACATGAAGGTGCTCCTCCTCGAGTTTCCTCATTCTAAACTAAAAATATGTCCGCAAGCCATTGTATATTTGCTTCGTCGAACCGATATAATTTTTTGAAGTCACGACCAAGTGAAGGTAAACGAGGTTTGTACGTTTTAACATCCCTAACATCCACAATTTCCGTCATCATCGTTTGACCACCCTTCGTTACGAAGTTGAGTCTGCTACTGACCACACTCAGAATTTTTGAAGGATATGCTTCCTATGCCAAGTATAAGGTGAAGATTATGAATATCCTTTTACTTATGCCACTGCTTTGAAGGATATTCACTTCAAATTATTATAAATACCATCTGGAGGATTTCCTTCAAAATTTGCAAGTACAAGGATATCCTTTGTTTTATGAATCCGGCTCAATATGTTGTCTGTGTATTAATCGGTGCTTAAATATTGCTGTGTGGTCATTTACACCGTATGGTTTGCTCTGTAAAAGAGATTGGCTAGTCACGATATTAACATAGATAGACTATGATCCTCAAAATTTTTCCAAAACATTTCCAGTAAAAATCTCAAATCATGCATGCATATGATAGGAAATATTTAGTGCAGTTGCCGTTATGTTATTCTAACTTTGAATAGGTCCAAGCAGCTGTATTGTAAAAACAATTTGGTGGTACAATTGGAAACAATTTGTAGTAGTGAAGTTATTATTCGGAAAGAACATATCACTATCTGTAGAGGAATCAACTTCCGACAAGCTTCCAATCGACCACTGCGAAAGTGAAAACAGGAAGCTGTCTGTTGGAACTGCATCCAAGTTCGCATTGTCATGCGCATCATCACTGTGACCGCTAGATGCCGCCGATTCTGATGTTATAGTAGATACAGTCCACTCGCCATTGAACAATCCAGTAATACAGCTTTCCTGCGCCCGGCTGACAATGCGAACCGAGATACAGTTGCAAGAGGTAGTTTCCTAGTTCCACTCTTCCAATAGTCGATTCTCGTAATAGATGGCGCTGTTTGCTATCTCATTTTGATAGGCCTCATACTCTGAATGGAGAGTGGTGATAGGTTTATATAATAGGGCTTTCGTTCGTTGTTTACCTGGACCATGCTGAGGAGTTGCCAAATAACAGAAAACCATGATTGGTCGTCGGTGGTCGAGGTAACGAAAGCTATCTTATATTTATTTATATTTATTTATTTATAATAATCCATACACTGCCTGAACAGAGTGATCCAGTTAACAGGCAGGGAAAAAACAAAAAATGATACAAAAACAAAGCTCTAAACAGTACATGATAAAAAAGACAAATATAAATTATCCAATTGTTAAAAAACACCCCTTGAGATCGATTTTGGTGGAACTAAAGATATCAAGTTCACTTACACTGTCACAGACATTTCACATAACATAAAGAGGCGAAAATAACAATAAATTTGTCCGCGGAACAGGTAAATAAAATGAGTTGTTACCGCCATGACGAGTACGCAAATCGGGAACAGGAAAAGGGCAATCAATTGTTCCATTCAACAAATTACATAAAAATTTAGCAGCTAACAGATTCATACGTTTGACTAAATTATGTAAATTATATCTACTTATGAGAATGTCATTGCATATACCCCTTTCAGGGTACGCTCTATCATCTTTAAACCATAAGTACAGGGTGGTCCATAAGTCCTTTGAAATTTCAAATTTGAATAAAATTCAACGGGTGAGCGTGAGCGGCGCGGGCGAGGTGGGGGCAGTATCTTCAGTGTCTGGGAATTCAGTCGCCATGGAGTGTTTCACTGGAGCGGATCGTGCTTTTTGTGTGCGCGCGTTTTATCAAAATAATGTTTCGGCAACCATTGCGCGGCGTAAATATCGAGAATACCACAATTTACACAATTTTACAAAGTGTCCAACAGCTCAAACGATTAAGAACTGGGTTGCTAAGTTCGAAGAGACTGGTTCGACGTTAGATAAACAGCGGTGGGGTCGACCAAGGACAACTCGTATTGAAGAAAACATCAACATTGTGGCACAGTCTGTTCGTCAAAATCCTACCCAGTCTACTCGTAAGCGTTCCAGTGCACTAAACGTACCCAGAACATCTTTACAGCGGATTTTAAGGAAAGATTTACGTCTACACGCTTACAAAATTCAGTTAGTGCAGGAATTAAAAGATAATGACGCTATTCAGAGACTAAACTTTGCGAATGAAATGTTGAATCGATTTTCTTCGCTCAATAATGTGTTGTTCTCGGACGATGCTCACTTCCATTTAAACGGGCATGTAAATAAACAAAATTGCCGTTATTGGAGCCCCGAAAATCCAAGGCGTAAGCATCAGAAGCCCTTACACAGCCCTAAAGTTACAGTTTGGGCTGCTATATCAGCGCATGGCATCGTAGGCCCTTATTTTTTTTTGAGGACGACAGAGGTCGCGCATTAACTGTTACTTCGGAGCGGTATGTAGCAATGATAGAGTAGTTTTTGACAACAGCGTTGCAGAATTTTCCAGGCTATAATACGCAGACCTGGTTTCAACAGGACGGAGCAACTGCCCACACCTCCAACACTTCTATGCCCGTCGTCTGTCAACTTTTTCCCAGCAAAGTAATTTCTCGAAGAGGAGACATTTCCTGGCCACCACGTAGTCCAGATTTGACCCCAATGGACTTCTTTTTATGGGGCTACCTCAAGAGTAAAGTGTACGACACCACTCCGCGATCAGTTGATGTCCTGAAAGAAAATATCCGAAGAGAAATGGCAAGCATTACAGTGTTGACTTGCCGCGCAGTCATCGACAATTTTAGACGTCGTTTATATGAGTGCCGTGATCGTAATGGATTGCATTTAGACGATGTGATTTTTAAAACATAATTCCCATTCAATAAAGATGATAACAAAATATATTAATTCTTCATAATGTAACTAGTTTGGTTTTATTCCTTTTTTTCCAGCTCAAAGGACTTATGGGCCACCCTGTATTTCACAAAACGACGTTGGATTCTCTCGATGTTTTTACAGTGTATATCATAGGCAGGGTACCAGATAATCGAACAGTATTCTAAAATAGATCTGACATAAGCATTAAAAAGTAAAATTAGCGTATCAGTATTATTGAAATGTCTACTGTTTCTTATAACAAGACCAAGATTTTTCAAGCCTTTTACTATTATTACATTAATGTTATCAATAAAAGAAAGCTTTAGATCGAATAATACGTCCAAATCCTTGACGATATTAACACGACAAGGAACATTGCTATCGACTTCAAAATTAACCCTGCGTGTGAACGTCATAGTAGTACATTTATTGACATTCAAGTGCATGTTGTTTACCTTACACCAGTGATCAATGACATTCAGATCAGCCTGTAACCTTAAACTGTCTTCTAAGCAGCACACGATATTAAAGATTTAGAGGTCATCGGCATATAGCTGGTACTCACAACGCAAGTCTGTTGTAACACCATTGATAAACATTAAAATAATAGAGGACCCAGAACAGAACCTTAGAGCACCCCTGATGTAGCTAAAACTGCACCAGACTTATATCCACGGAAGTCCGCACATAATTGTCTATCACTGATGTATGAATGAAAGAAAGCTAAGAATCTAGATGTAAAACCGTACTTAGACAACTTCTGCAGTAGAACACCGTGATCCAAACGGTCGAAAGCTTTCGAAAAGTCAGTATAGACTACATCAACTTGCCCGCCATTATCCAGAACTGACGCGGAGTACTGCTTAAAACATGCCAGATTACTACACGTAGATCTACCCTTATAGAAACCATGTTCGACTTACATTCGAGAACAGAATATCAAAAAGAACAAACTCAAAAATTTTGGCAATATTACTTAAAATAACAATAGCCCTGTAATTTTCTACCTGCGATCGATCGCCTTTCTTAAAAACAGGTGTTATTTTAGACAATTTCCATTTTCTAGGAAAGGTGGCAGATTTCAAGGAGAAATTGAAAAGATATGTCAAAGGCTCAGCAAGAACACACGCACAGTCTTTTAGAAAAAAAGAAGGTAAGGAATCCAAGCCAGTGGAAAATTTAGGCTTTAAACGTTTTATTGCATTCTGTACATGCTCCACATTAATAGTCACTATAGGGAGATACAATATATTTTCTGCTATGGAACAACCAGCGGATGGTTGAGAGGACGTGATTTAGGTGGACTGGAAATACTTGGCAAAAGTATCAACAATTTCCTGTGGATTCCTGAACTCCACTTTTCCAAAGACATATTGTTGGGTAAGCCTGATCTGTTGCTGCGCAAGTTAACAAAGGACCAAAATTGATTGGGGTTTTGCGCAAGGGCACGCTCAGTTCTCGCAACAAAATTAGAACACGCCAAGTCTATATCGATTTTGATGGCTCTTCGCAAGTTACTGAAAGCTTCATAGTCACATCTAACCAAAGTTCTCTTATATCGCTTCCAGAGGCGATGCTTTTTTGATATTTTAAAGATTATTGCATGGAACGTACCCATCGAAGGCGTTATACAATTTATCATAAAACATTTCACAAGCAATATTAATTTCGAGGATGTCAGATGGAAAAGAAAA